ATAGATTCAGTTCAATCAAGGCTGTTTAGTGTAGTTCCATGTAGAGAGTTCAAAAATGACAACTCCTGAAATAGATTTTAACAGCATTTCATTGATAAGAAAGGAGGATTAGTCTTGGCGGACTAGATCTGCTATGCTTGTGCTGCTGGCATGAGCGAATCTTTTTACTAAAACACTCAAATTTACAGGTATTTTGAAACATGCTGCTGCTGCAAGTTAAGGAAGAACCCTGTAACAGATCTAGACAGGTGGTGCTGGGGAGGAGGAGGGATAAAGCAAATAATCCCTGATCCACAGTACTGACATGGATTAGATCAGGATGGAAGTGAAAAGGGTTGTGTAGATAGGAAAGGGAGATCAACTGGCTGTGTTGCCACTCGGCTTCTCAGAAGAGTTTCATCACAGACCTAATGCATATAGACTTTAGTCAGAGTTAATGCTGTATTTAATTTAACATGAATAAAAACAAAGTATATACAATTGTCTAGCACAGAAGTTTATGTTATTGTTAAAAATCAATTGATTTGTGAAAATTTTGAATGCATTGTTTTCTCCTGAAACCTTACTGCTGTGTCATAATGTTGTGTATCTGGGTCTAAAAAGTATTTAAAAAACTACACTTATTTTGAGGTGTTGATTAACATACTAAAGCACATGATTATAACTTTATATTGTGTGATTCGATAGTGCATTTAAAGTTAATATAATTTAAATGCATTAAATTGCAAATTAATCATTACAAAGGTGTAATTACAAATATGTTTAAATACATGGCATGCAGGTTTCAATAGAAATGGCATTAAAGTATATTTTAGTTTATTATAAATGTACAGACCACAACAGTGTGGTTTCAAAGGGAAACAACAAGGGCAATAGTGTGGTTTCTATTTTATCAATAATTTGATCAGTAATTTACGAACAGTTCAAAAACTGGCCTACAATAAATTCTGAGATTGTCACATACTGTATGCTTTTAATATTAGTTTAAATTAAGTTAATATTAACTAAAATTAGCCTGATAACTACACTAGTTAGCAACTAGAGCAGTGTTTCTCAACCCTGGTCCTGGGTGCCCCCCAGCACTGCACATTTTGTGTGTCTCCCTAATCAAACACACCTGATTCAACTCATTAGCTCATTAAAAGAAACTCCAGGCCCTGAAATTGGTGTCAGATAAGGGAGACATACAAAATGTGCAGTGTTGGGGGGCGCTCAGGACCAGGGTTGAGAAACACTGAACTAGAGTATGAAAACGACTCTTTTCAGACAAGAAAACATTAACTCACATTGATTCAATTACATTGTTGAGTAGTTTATTGATATGATTCATTTTCTGATTTTTAAATACTTTATGCTTCAACCAAATGATGAGAGGTTATTATGTGAGTATAGGAGAGCAAAAGTCTAAGTGGACGTCCATGACATGCGGAGTCCCACAAGGCTCAATTATTGCACCGCTCTTGTTAAGCCTGTATATGCTCCCACTAAGTCAAATAATGAGAAATTGCCTATCACAGCTATGCTGATGATACCCAGATTTACCTAGCCTTAACGCCAAATGACTACAGCCCCATTGACTCCCGGTGAGGAACAGCGGTGTATGGTGTGTCAATTGACTCACATGTGGAAGGTGAAGTTATCCGGTGTGCCGTCTCTGTTTGCATCTGTTATATCATGAATAGTGCTGACAGCCATAGTGACCTGGCCAATGGCATACACTATGGACAGGTATATGATTGTTCTGAAAACACACAAACACGATCAGCATCAGTCATGACAGCACACGTTCACAGATCAAAGACAGTCTGTATAAACTGCTCTCACTCTCAGAGTGCTGGATAGATTGTGATTCATCAGCGAGGGAATTGCCTCTTAAAGCTCTACAAAAAACGTACTTGAACTTCCCGAGCCAGGAATCAGCAATGATGGCACCCAAGATAGGGGTCAAGTAGCACAACGCCACAAAGGCATGATAGATCGAGGTCGCAAGGTCATCATCCCAAAGCAGAAAATACCGGAAATACAGCACCAACACAGCTAGACACACACACACACACACACACACAGAGAGAGAGAGTTTATTTATGAATCTATTTTTTCAAATGAGTATGGTCTCAAGCACAGCCCCTTCATAGGCAAATGCAATAACATGTGCCAAGCGCTAGGTGGCACTGTAATAATTACATTGCTAATTTACATTTACACACACACACACACACAACACGAACCATATAAGCAAAAACAAAAATGAATGTTTCGCTCTGAAACCATCAGATAATTATCACATTCAAGGGAAATCTTACATGATCCAAAAACACTTTTTCTCAAACATGCCCACATGAAATTCCATGTCTTGTTCATGCCTTTATCACAAAAACAAAAAATTAAGGATTGAAAGAAAAAACAATATAATGGCATTATTCAAGATGTAAGGAGCATTATCAGAGTCATCTCCTATTAAAATAATAATAATAATAATATAAATACTGTATATAAAATAATAAAGATCAATCCGATTGTGTCTCCATGAAGAAATTTGGCATATGTGGTAACTGTCTTAGAGAAAGCAGTCCTAGACAGTTTTTCCAATTCATATGAAACTTGGCATTAGTCAAATTGTTTCAGAAATACGCATGTGTATTTCTCCACGTAGCCTGTAATTACTAATTGACCCCACATCTTCAGAGTACAATATCCAAAGGTCCACAAAACCTGGGGCAGATGGACACCATTGCGGTTTGTGTCCTGTGGGAGTCACTGCACAACTGTTTGATCGAAAACACTGATCTGCTCTTTCATATTCTTTGATTATATTGTCACATCTACTTGACACTTGCTGCTACAACATTTCATCACACATGTACTACTTATATTCACACAGTATTTTACATGCCTTTTCTTTATTGAGAGACAAAAATGCGCACACACACTTACCTCGCATGCCATAGTAGGAAAACCTCTCACAGAACTCATTGACCACAATAAAGAAAATGCTGATTGGATAGCCACAACACTCAGCCGTCTGTACCAACACACACAAACATACATTACATAAGCTGTAAACATTTGGAAGCACACCATCATATTCCATAATAATTGTAAACACTGACAGACATTTACTTGATGCCAAAACACACACACGTGTCTACTACAGAGTATATCCAAAAATAGCATATATGCATATGTTGTAATACTGTTATTTCTCTGTGCAAGGTTTTTTGTTGCTATTATTAATTGTTCAAATACACCATATTATTTAGATTGAACTCTCTACAATGTATAAGAAGAAATTAAGGATTGAAAGAAAACAAAAAAAACTAAAACAATATAATGGCATTATTCAAGATGTAAGGAGCATTATCAGAGACATTGAGATTATCATTTTGATAAGTGAAATAAACAGACATACGTTTACTTACAGTAGCTATCTAAATGAGAACATCCTCTATACTTTTATTGATATTATATAATAAAAGGTAATTAAAATTATTACAGACTAACCCTAAATGAAAACTTTGTATTTTAAGAATTTAAAAATCAATTTTCCAAACGAGGATCAATTTCTCCAAGGACATTCATGGCAGATTTACATTGCTTTTAGGGACAATTTTGTTCCCAAACTATATGAATGATACACACGGACACATGCTGACATGACAAAATAAAAGTTATTAAAAATGAAATACCTTAATCATCGCATGTTAACACAAACATGTAGCTAAAATTATTTCATTAATCTTACCTTTTTCTTCGTTTTCTTAGTCTCGTCCATCTTTTCGTCTGTGAGATTGGTCAATTTTTAGTTCACATACAACATCACACAAATAGTAATGATAATTTCTGTGCATGTAAATGGTTTAACACACACACAAGGTCCTCACCTGGCATATTGGCAGCAGAAGTGTGTGTATTTGTGTGTGACCTGCTGGATACCTGTGTGAGAAAAGACTTGACCAGGGCAGGATGTCTGAGTAAGAGCAGCTGGAACAGGTGTGTGTGTGTGTGTGTGTGTGTGTGTGTCTTATTAACATGGACTGTGGCCTGTCTGCTTTATGACATGAAAAAGAGCAAGACTGATAGATAATACTCAGGAGTCCATAGGGTATAAACACCAGCTCACACTGAATTTCTACACTGTTTATAGTGGATTACAGAAGAAGCAACATTAAATCAATTCAAATCTTCACATAAAAAGACAAAACAAACAACAAAAAACCTAAAGCAAAACAAAAAAACAAGACAAGACAAAAAACTAAAGAGAAGTCAAAACAAAAATAAGACAAAAAAACTAAAACAAAACAAAAGACAACAAAAAATAACAAAACAAAAAATACACAAGACAAAAACAAAGCGAAATAAAAATAAGAAAAGACAAAACAAAAAATACACAAGACAAAACAAAAAACTAAAGACAAGACAAAAACAAACAAACAAAAAACAAAACAAGACAAAAAATAAGACAAAACCAAACAAGACAAAACTAAAAAATAATACACAAGACAAAACAAAAAATAAAGACAAGACAAAAAAACAAACAAAAAACAAGACAAAAAATAAGACAAAACCAAACAAGACAAAACTAAAAAATAATACACAAGACAAAACAAAAAAACTAAAGACAACAAAAAATAACAAAACAAAAAATACACAAGACAAAAACAAAGCAAAACAAAAATAAGACAAGACAAAACAAAAAACTAAAGACAAGACAAAAATAAGACAAAACAAAAACAAATGAACAAGACAAAATAAAAAATAAGACATGACAAAACAAAAGGACAAAAAAAAAAACTAAAGACAAAAAAATAAGAAAAAACAAAGAAAACAAAACAAAAAACTAAACAAGTCAAAACAAACAACAGAGACGAAAAGGCAAAACACAACAAACAAAGGACAAAACAACATACAAAAGACAAGATAAAACAAAATATAATATGATAATTAATGCTGGCTAAAAATCTATGGTTAAAAAAAACTGAAAGTGTTTGAGAAATGTGTGAGATTTTATTCAAAGCATTAGAATAGGGACATTATCAGTTTAAATACAGCAGAGCCGAGACTGTTAAATACAGATAAAACAATATCACATTCAGCTGTCCCACAGTATAAAAATATTTAATAACTGATAGGCATAATGTTGAACATTAGCATTTGTGTCTGCACAAGCCCCGCCGCACCTCCAGTGTATCACATGCAGTGAAAGTGCTGACCTCATCACAATGCCACGCCCACTCAACATGCGTCTGCTGCACACTCACACTCACAGACACATGGATCACATATGACATCTTCAAATCAGCCTCAAATCAGATGGTGGTTTAAACTCGATGTCACGTGTCTCTCAGACAGCGAGCCAGCAGAGCTAGTAGACTTCAGTCCGTCATTCAAAAACTGAAAAATCTGAGCTCGAACAAGTAATACAACATGAAGAAATAAAAAATATATATTAGCAGAGGATGCAGCCGTTGCAGTCAGAGTCATAGTTTAGCTGTTAGCACACGTTAGATGCAGTGCTTACATGATTGAATGTGACTCGCATCATTTTCTGACCCATTCCCTCTCTCCTCAACACTATTTCCTCTGCCCTCTTTACTACGGCTATTAATAAAACTGGCAAAATGGCCAAAAATAAAATACATGCTTTTGATTAAGTCTCCACAGGAAACAGTAGGTGAAATCCCCTGGATGAGGCAGAAACATACAGATCTCCTCCTGAGACACTGCCCTCAGCTCTCCTTCACCTCCTCTTCATGACAGCAGGGAGAGCTGTAGGGCGGGTGGAGGTGTGAAATGAATAGTGAAAGGTGAAAGGTCATAAGGTCACTGCAGGGGTCAGGTTCACACCACTGAGGAGGAGTGTGGCAGGCCCTGGATAGTGGCGGCAGTGGGCGTCCCGCTGATGGCATTGAAGATGTGCAGTGAATCCGGCAGAGGACTGCGCATCCCATCATCCGCTGGACTGATCTGTGGAGACGGAGAAGGAAAAAGAGAGGAAGAGCAAGAATGATCAGAAATCATCATCACACGCAACACATAATGCAACACTGCAGTGTGTATGAAATCTGCATGGAATCTGACCAGTTCTTTGCATTAACAAACAAACAAACAATAAATAAGACAAAAAACAAGACATAACAAAACAAGAAAACTAAAAACAAAACAACAATAACAAAAAGCAAGACATAACAAAACAAGAAATAAAAACAAAACAAGAAAACAAAACATGAGAAAACTAAAAACAAAACAAAACAAAACAAACAAGACAAAACAAAACAAACAAGACAAAACAAAACAAAACAAAACAAACAAGACAAAACAAAACAAAACAAAACAAAACAAAACAAAACAAAACAAAACTAAACTAAACTAAACGGTTCTTCACATTATTTTTAATGATCGTGGGGTCAAATCTACAGAAATTTGCAGAATTTTGCGATCATGTAGTGTTGGAATTGACCTTTCACTCAACTTTACTGACCAATCCTACCAGTAACTGTTATCAGCCCATATTATCTCATATGATTCATGATCCATGTGCAGTTTGTTGTGAAAATACTGAAAATATAAATATTTTGGAGAACCAAAAGCACACCAGGTAACATCAAAATGATATCGATTAATCGATTAATTGCATCCAAAATAAAAGTTTTTGCTTACATAATATATGTATGTGTACTGTGTTTATTTATTATGTATATATAAATACACACACGTACAGTATATATTTTGAAAATATTTACATGTATATACATTTATATATTTATATTATTATATTAGATATAAATATATTTAATATATAAACATAACATATTTTTCTTAAATATATACATGCATGTGTTTGTATTTATATATACATAATAAATAAACACAGTACACATACATATATTATGTAAACAAAAACTTTTGTTTTGGATGCGTTAGATTAATCGTTTGACAGCACTACATCAAACATTTATAGACATCATTTAGGTTGCGTTTGCATGATCTCACAACATGAAAAGAGAGCTTTTACACAATTCAAATTATGCCTCTATGAGTTTTTAGACTCAGACTATCTAAGAAACTCATAATTTCAGTAAGAAAGCGTTTTAAATGGAGATGAGAGAACACAGAAAGCATTATTTAAAATAGCATGGGTATAAAGCATTGAATGACAGGTGTGTGAATCCTGTGGGTTTCTGTGGCTGCAGAGTCCATGCAGGCCTAACAATGCTTCAGTTATATGAAATAATTTACCATTCAGTCTGACCATGAAAGCAAAAGAGGAAAAGAAAACAAGGAGAGATTAAAGAAAAGAAATGAAAATTCAAGTATCAGAAGTTTAAGATCAGTGTGTTTGTGTGTCTTACAGGCTCGTGCATAATGGCGGACAGCTCTTTAGTGAGATCTCTGTAGTTGGCCTTCATCTCGTCATGATACTCCTGCTGATCTTCTTTAATCAGACGCTCATTAACACCTAAACCAAGACCACACGCCTCCACAAACTGCCTGCAAAGCACCACACAAATACACACAATTTCAGATTTCAATTTCAATACCAGTCAATGTGTGCACACACATAAATTGTTCCAATAAATTTCTACACAAAATAATATAGTGAAGGAAACAGAGTACGCAGAGCTGTAAAGGTGCCCAAGGCGGCTATTAAAAAAAAAAACTCAAATATAAGATTAGATTTATTTAAATAAAATAAAAAATGCATAATTTAGTTAACATAACTCCATAAGAGTGTTTTTGTGTTATTTCATAGGATCTTTCATCATTTTTAATCTCTTAGCTGTTTTGAAGTTTAATTGTAGTTCAATGTGAGCTCATTATTATACATTGCACATAAGAGTCTGTGAGATTTGTCTGTTTTTGAAAAGAAGTCTATGCTCAACAAGCCTTCATTTATTTGAACAAAAATACAGCAAAAACAGTAACACTGTAAAATATTATTACAATTTAAAATAACTATTCTCTATTTCAATACGTTAAAATATAATGAAAACAGGCTTATTTTTGTGGAAATGCGTGATACATTTTTTTCAGGATTCTTTGATAAAGTTCAAAAGAACAGCATTTATTTGAAATAGAAATCTTTAGTAACATTATAAATGTCTATACTGTCGCTTTTGATCAATTTAATGCATCACTGCTGAATAAAACTATGAATTACAAAACTGTATATATATGCAATCTTGTTTATGATAGTTTTAGATGAAGGACTGCTCAGAGACTGAAGTGTGTGTTTTACCGGAAAACTTCTTTCAGCTGTTTGACTTTGTTGTCTGGGTATTTCTTAGTGCTGGCATCATCCAGGAAAGCCCTGGCGTAGGCAAGAGGGCCAGCGTTTACCTAAAGAGAGGGTAACAGGCAGGTTTACAGACTGAATAAAACTTAACTCGTGTGTGTGTGTGTGTGTGTGTGTGTGTGTGTGTGTGTGTACCTGCACACTGATGCTGCCCTGTAGTTTGAGCTGCAGCTGGATCATGTCCACATCGCTGCAGGAACACAGCTGTCTGATCTCCAGCACCTTCTTACTCATCTCATCAATCGCCACCTCAATGGGGTTCAAATCCACATGGTGCTGATACATCACCGCGATCCGCTTCTTCACGTACGGGAAACAGTGTGTGGCTGAGAGATGAAGAGAACGAACAGAAGATTTACATATGACGTCTAACCAAGAATGAAGTTAGTAATATTATGGTTAGGGTCAAAGCTAACACATTACAAATGCAGAGTCGTTTTTCGCTCATTAAATGGTTAAACCATTAAATAATTAAAATCGCGAACACTCAACAAGTGTTTCAATATGATTCTTATCTCTCTCTCTTATATTTGAGCTGCTTCTTTGTCTAGACACCAGCTTTCCTCGCTTTGGACATGAACTCAAACGACTTCATGAGATGCTTTTAAACAGTTCTTTAAAACAACTGTTTTCTTGTTTAATACATGTTAAAATATAATGAAAACCGCTGTTTATTTTTATGGAAACTGTGACATTTTATCAGGATTCTATGATAAATAGAATGTTCAGAAGAACAGCATTTATTTGAAATAGAAATATTTAGTAACATTATGAATGTCTATACTGTCACTTTTGATTAAACTTTTGATTTTTTTTTGAGTAAAAAAAAAAAAAGTATATATTGCATTGTACAGGTATATATGCAATGTTGTTTAAAATAGTTTTAGACGAAGGAGTTCTCAGAGACTGAAGTGTGTGTTTTACCGGAAAACTTCTTTCAACTGTTTGACTTTGTTGTCTGGGTATTTCTTAGTGCTGGTGTCATCCAGGAAAGCTCTGGCATAAGCAAGAGGCCCGGCATTGACCTGAAGAGAGAGTGAAAGACAGGTTTACATATGTCACATGACATTCTAAAACTCACTGAGCATAAGGTCATGTGTGTGTGTGTGTGTGTGTGTGTGTGTACCTGCACACTGATGCTGCCCTGTAGTTTGAGCTGCAGCTGGATCATGTCCACATCGCTGCAGGAACACAGCTGTCTGATCTCCAGCACCTTCTTACTCATCTCATCAATGGCCACCTCAATGGGGTTCAAATCCACATGGTGCTGATACATCACCGCGATCCGCTTCTTCACATACGGGAAACAGTGCGTGGCTGAGAGATGAAGAGAAAGAACGGAAGATTTACTAGTGAACTCTAACCAAGAATAAAGTTAGATGTTATATTACATTCTAGATTAGTAGAATGTAATAAAATTACAGATGCAGAGTCATTTTTTGGTCTATAAAAGGTTAAATGAAAAGCGCTTTTAAAATCATGAACACTGAACGGTTTGAATATGATTATCTCTCTTATATTTGAGCCCAGCTCTGCTCGCTTTGGACATTCACTCTACCAACTTCATGAGGTGCATCATGAGATGCTTTTAAGCAGTCTTGACATGTACGCTGAGCCTTAGAGACACAGAGACCGTCTGGGTCTGCTCGGTGAAGATAAGGGCTGTACTTTGTGATTGGGAGGATCAAATAACTGTCAAACAGCACAGACGGGGAAATGATTCAGCTGACACTCTGATTTTTTATCACGGGACTCTCTGGAAGTGCCAATCACTTATCTCTATCTCTCGTCTCTATGGTCAGTATGTAGTGTGTAAAGCCCCGTTCACACCAATAACGATAACTATAAAGATAACTATATTAGCGTCCACACCAGCGGACGATATCATCTGTTTATTCCAAGCGCACACTCGTCTGTCGCTTTAAATTCTCCAGCTCGTCATAGCAGGATCGATTCTGATTGGCTGTCAATGTTTTTATCGTTCATCAGCTGGAAAAAAATCGTTCTGAAAGTGATTCCAACGATATCGTTTCTCTGTGCCTTTATCGTTATAGTTGTGGTGTGGATGCTGCTATTCTTTAATATTGAGAACGATTTTTAGAACTATATCGTTATCTTTATAGTTATCGTGCTTGGTGTGAACAGGCCTTAAGTGTGTGTACTCACTGGTGAGGATAGTCCTGCGTTTGCACTGTTCCTCTACACCGCCTTGTTTTTTGCCTGAAACGGTGAACGGCATCTCGAAGACAAATCGACGGATGTTGTGGCTCCTCTCAAAGTCGGTTTTTCTCTCCAGCAACTCCTTCTCCTCCAGGAATGGGGTGACATGAGTCACTTGGATGTAGGCGTATTTAGAGTCCAGATCCTTTGGATTAATCTGCACCAAACAGTAATGCAGCTTTAGCTAAAAGGCAGTTATAGTTGTAGTGCTAGTTAAGCTACACTGTTCAACACTGGTTAAATATGTCTGGACTTCTACACTTCATGGCAAACACAAATCTTGATTCTTAAAGGGGTGGTTGATTGCGATTTCACTTTTTTAATGTTAGTTAGTGTGTAATGTTGCTGTTTGAGCATAAACAATATCTGCAAAGTTACGAAGCTGAAAGTTCAATGCAAACGGAGATATCGTCTTTTAGAATTCTGGCAGTTTAATGCCTATAAAAACAGCTGGTAGGGACTACAACACGTTACTTCCCGGGTTCGTGACGTAATAAACCTAGATAAACCCTGCCCCCGGGAAAAGGCAGCAAAGGGGGCGAGGCCAGGCTGCGCTGCTTTAGAGAAGAGGAAGAGAAAACTAGAGGTGCACGTAAAAATCTATTCATATATGAATAAAACAGTGAACCACCCCTTTAAACCTTAAAATCTTCTAGAAAAGCCCACATTGCAGGTATACACCATAAACATTTTAATTTGCATACCAATATATCAAAAAGTAACTTACACATTGCTACACATTGCTATCTTCTATAATTTAGTTTCAGCTTCAGGACAAGAACTATCCATTTTATAGCAGCACATACATAAGACATCCCAGACTTGTGTTTCTGTCTTACACTACTTTTCAAAAGTTTGGGTCAGTAATAAAACTTTTTCACAGCAACAATGCATAAAATTGATCAAATGCAACAGCAATTTATTTATAAAATTACAAAATATTTTTTTTTTCTCTTTTGAACTTTCTATTCATCAAAGAATCCTAAAAAAAACAGTTTGCATAAAAATATTAAGCAGCACAACTGATTTCAACATTGACAATAGTAAGAAATGTTTCTTGAGAATTAAAGCAGCATATTAGAATGATTTCTGAAGGATCATGTGACACTGAAGACTGGAGTAATGATGTTGAAAATTCAGCTTTACATCACAGTAATAAGTTAAATGTTAAAATATATTCAAATATGTTAATATTTCACAATATTACTGTTTTACTGTATTTTTGATAAAATAAGTGCAGACTTGCTGAGCATAAGACGTATGTGTTCAAAAACTATTATTATTTATTCAAAAACTAAAAAAAAAAAAATCTTACTGACCTCAAACCTTTGATTGGTGGTGTATACTGTATATACATGATTTATATATGATATACTGTATACAATTTCATAAAACCATGACACATTTTACGGGTCAGTAAAATTCTTCCCGTCAAAGAAAAAAGGTTTTCACAGTGATGCCATAGAAGAACCATTTTTTCTTAGTATAAAGAACAATTTAATAATCTAAAGAAACTTTAGTGCAATGGAAAGGTTCATGGATGTTAAAGGTTTTACATGGAACCAAAGACGCCAATAAAAAACTTTAATTTTAGGAGTGTGGGTAGTTCTTGGCCAGAATAAGCTGCGATGTGAATCAGACTTTGTTCTGATAATCAAAAGTCTGTACATTTCTTACCTTGCCAGAATCCTGAATCATTTTGACATTCTCAGCTCCAAACTTGTCTGAATACAGTTTAAGGAGTCTTTGTGAGATCTCAGACAGCGGGGTGAATTTGGGCTCCTTGTATATGTATTCTTTCCCGTCTTCATCCTCGAAGAATCCCTAAAACAACAAGCAAATCTGAATCAATCGGAAGAAACTCAACTTCTAAATCCTGCTCCTGAAACTAAATCAAGCTACTTGCCTACTAATTTTTGAGTACTAAGTTAGCCACAAGACACGATTGTTTTCAACAGCAATCTGGAAATACTGGGAGGTATAAATACTGTAAAAGTGTTTTGATCCTAATTATTAAACAGGGATTATGATGACTTCCACACCCAGCAGGACAACACACACGTAGAACTAATGTTGAGTTGGTTACACTTTATTTTAAGGTGTCCTTGTTACAGTGTAATTATACATACAGTATGATAGTCACACATCAAAATAAGTGTACTTAAAAGCACGACAAAAGATTATTGAAACATAATGATTTAAAACGTACTTTAAAGTAAAACTTTTCATTTGACATTATTACAAACTGCACATTGAAGTGGCCTTTTATTTCATCAATTATATATTACGTGCAGTATTTTACTTTTACGATTTGAAGTGCACTACAAATGCACATTCAATGCAATTAATTGCACTCATCATATCTTGATGTTCATGGACATTTTATGTGTTACCAAACAAATGGAGATTGCAATGTTTATACATTAGAGCAGTGGTTCTCAATTCCAGTCCTCGTGTACCACCGCACTGCACTTTTTTTTAATGAGAAACAGATAACAGATAAATAAAGACACAATTAAATAAATTAATATTTAATTAAATAAATAAATAATAGATAAATAAAGACACAACTAAGAGTCATTATAGAGCTCATCCTGATAAAGACATGATGAGTAAAGCTGATGAGACTCACCTGTCCGAAGAATGCTACTCTGAAATATGTTCCCAGCAAGCGCTTGCCTGTGTGCATGACCTCTGTGACCTTACTGTAGGCACGGTGCAGGGTGCCATAGAGGTGAGCCAGTCTCTGCCACAAACATGAGCATCAGCGTTTATAAAACACATCGGCTCTGATTTCAAGGGAAGGTGTCATTTCTGCACTGAAGTGTGTCATTTTAGGGAGTGAAACCTTGAAATGGATCAACTTAGGTATGCGGCGGTAACCCATCCTTAGATATCAAAACACAGTGTGTGTTACTGCTGTACCTCAAAGTCTCTGCGTTTCTCATAAATGGGAATGATGAGTTTGTAGATGTCAGAGATGAGCTCATAACGCTCCGCTTTCCACAATCCATCAGCACATTCTTCCAGAAGCTCCATCAGGACGTCCTATGACCCACAGACAAACACACACTTATACCCTTACAACAAAGATACTAAGGCCCAATCCCAATTCTACCCCTTTAGCCCTTCCCCTTTCAGTTTCGCGCGTTCACGTGAAGGGGTAGGGGTGTCTCAATTCTTTTTTGGTTGGAGGGGTAGGGATAGGGGAAGGGCCAGACAGCCCTTCAAACGAAGATTTTTCGGGACCACATTTCAAACGAAGGGGTATGAATTATCTCAGCGTAAACCGGCTTCAGGGGCAACATGGCTGCCCGAGCGAACAAAAAGACACATAAATGTAAGCACAAATCGGCTTCAGCGGCAACATGGCTGCCCGAGCGAACAAAAAGACACATACATGTAAGCATTTTTGGCATTAATAAAGATTTTAACGAAAAGTAATCATTTGTTTTATGTTACATTCAATCGTGAGTTCATTTTTACGGTCATGTTACTCAAAGAAATGTTTGCAAAAAATCGCTAGTATTTGCTAACTAACGTCATATCATTATAGACTGCACAATAGTGCCACAACATATTTTCATGTCTGATCAGGGCGATAACCACCGTAAACATTGAGGGGGGCTAGTCCCCCCAATAATTATAAATCGCTAAACCCTTTTCTCAAATATTGCAATTCGAGAGAGAGAGAGAGAGAGAGAGAGAGAGATGAAAGTTGCGTGTATATGCGCGTCTGTGCGTTTCTCTTTTAAGAGTGAGTTTACTTAAAAAACAGCGATTTTATCCTCTCGTTGCTG